ACCCGACCACGTCTGGTGGTGGCCAAAGGAGAACGATGACACATTCGAGAACATGATGACCCAGCCTGTGAACGATGACACGTCCGAGAACATGATGGCCCCATCTGTGAACGATGACACATACGTGAACTTGATGACCCAATCTGTGAACGATGACACATTCGTGAACTTGAGGACCCCATCTGTGAACGATGACACGATGGTGAACTTGATGAACCAATCTGGAAACGATGACACGTCGGTGAACTTGACGACCCAGAACGCGATGGAGGACAAGGGGCATGATGGGAGGAGGAGAGACTCTGCTGGGACGGTGGCGAGGACGGTACCTTCCGCTGCGTACCCGCACCGCTGTCTCATACAATCGATGGGCTTCTCGCCGAGCCCAGGCGGGCTGGCGACGCGGCCCGGCGCCGGCGGGGACGCCAGGGCTACGCTGTGGACCAAGGCAGGTCCGAGAGGCGCTGACCCGAGCGCCCCGCAGCCGGCCCTCAGGACCGGGGCCGACAGGTCAGGCGGCGGCGGTCGGGCCTTGAAGCCTGGCCCACGGATCCAGCCGGGCCGAAGCTCCCGCCGGTCCGCAGCTCGGCTACCCCAGTCAGCCACGTTCAGAGCGCCTGGGACGTGGCGGACCCGCCGCGCGATCTCGGCGGCCAGCTGCAGGGCGCCAGCGCGGCGGCACTGCGCAAGCAACTCGCGATTGCTGGCGCGGCCCTTCTCGAAGGACAGGATGCTGGAGAGGTTGTCGGACAGGCTGAGCAGCTCAGTGCCGTGGCAGTTGACCTGGCGCGCCGCTGCGCCATGGCCAATCACCGCCGCGCGTGCCTCCAAGCTGTGGATGCGGCCAGGGTGGCGCCAGGCGCCGCGGAAGGCCTCGGTCCACCTCGTCGGGTCGACAAGGCCAGGCGGCAACTCGGGGGGCGGCCGGCCCACCTCGAGCTCGAGGCGGCGGCGCCTGGCCCGAGCCTGGCGGCGCGGCCGCCTGGGCGGCGCGTCGCCCGAGGAGCCCACGCCGAAGGTGTCGGTAGGGTCAAGCAGCCCCGCAGCGCGGCCGAGGTAGGGGTCGACGTCTGGGTCTCCTTGCGCCTCAACCTCGTTGAAGCGCTGTCGCTCGCGCCAGCGGGAGGCGTCCAGCACCTCGTGCGCGGGGAGCTCGGCCTCGCAGATGGCGTAGCCGAGCATCGAGCTGTCGGTGGGGTACGACACGGGTGCGGGGGGCCGCCGCAGGTCCGCCTGGCCGAGGAAGATGAGCCCAGCCGCACAGCGGAGCTTGTTCACGACGTTGGCGGGCAGGCGGGTGACCCCCTCCATGGGGCCTGACTCCAGGTAGGCGTAGCAGTCGCCCAGCGCGCTCAGGGCCGGCCTCATGATGCTGAAGTAGTGGACGATGTGCCCGAGCAGTCGTCTGACCTGCCAGCGGGCCAGCCTCGGCCTCCGCAGCACCTCATGGAGCCCGAGGTACAGGCGCCAGGCTCGGCGCGAGGTGTGGCGAAGTCGGCCGTGCCTCCCGTCGCACTCGAGGCCGAGTAAGTACCCCCTGCGAGGACGTGGCGCGCTGTAGCTCATGCCAGCGAAGTCCCCTCCTGTCGAGCTCGCCCGTCACCGAGTCGAGGCGGAGGTCAAGCTCACCAGCGTCCAGCGAGATGAGGTTGGCGTTGTCCACAGAGGGGGCATGGGCGACCCCTCCAGAGAGAAGGGAGGGAGACTTACCCATGTCGAGGCACCAGGCGTCCTTGTCACCGAAGGTCGAGCCCATGACGTCCATCAGGACCTCCTGGCAAATCCAGAGGGCCCACGACCAGCCCATGGGGGGGGCTTCGAAGCAAGGCCACACCCGCGTGTCCGGGCTGATGTCCACATACCGACCCAGCTCCTCGTCATAGAGCTGGGAGAGGCCGAGCTCGGCCGCGTCGACCTCCACGTCGAAGCACATCCACGAGCCCCAGGCGGGGTGCCGGAACTGGTAGAAGCCGTCCTCCAGGTCCACCGAGCCCGCCACGAGCTCACCGCCCGTCGTCACAATGTCAAGGTCGTCAGGGCTCAGGCTGGTGGCGTCGACGAGGTTGATCGCGGCCAGCGACTCGCCCGAGGCCAGGACCGTCTTGGGCGGGAGGCGCTGCAGCTGGTTCGCCTGCCGCGCGTCCAGCACCATCCTCTGGTCCCCGTTCTTCTTGCGAACGAAGAAGGCGGAGACGCATGCCTTTCGGCGAGCGCGAGCCCCCGCGAGGCCTCGAGAGGCGAGGGCGCGGAGGAAGGCCACGAGAGCGGGGCGAGTCCCCCTGCGATGCGGGTCCAGCTGAGGGTCCCAGTAGGGCTGCACCAGCGGCTCGTCCTCCGGCAACTCAGAGAGCGGGCGGACGACGGTCGCGTCGAAGTTCCCGAGCACGTCCCTGACGCTGTCCGGGGCCACGTCGGCGAGCGGCGTGGAGAAGTGTTGCTTGCGCAGGATGTTGAGGCGGTCCGCGTCAAAGTCGACTGCGGTCGTGGACGCGTCGAGGCCGCCATATACGTCCCTGGTCTTGAGGAGCTCCTGGAGGGCTCCAGCTCCATCCACGTCGGCGGGCCGATCACCGAAGACCGCGATCCGACGACGAATGCGCCTGAGCGCCGACTCTTCAATTGCGCGATGTCGGCACTCGATGTCCTCTGAGGGGGCCGAAGCACGACGTCCCTCCCGGCGCAGGCGGTGGCCATCCCATTGAGGATCGAGACCGTCTCCACGGCGCGAGCCGTCCGGTGGTCGGCGGCGGCCGCGCGCTGCGCCTTATGCCGAAGCAAAGCGGTGCGTTCCCCTCGCCGTGGGTGCGAGTAAAAGGCATCCGTGATCGGAAGCGGGAGCAAAGGTGGGCCCCCCCGTGAAGCAGGAGCCCCAGCGGGGTGGCAGCCGCGGTCCACATCGGTGGCCATGGAACCGCGGTGGGCCGGCGGCGGCGGCACGGGCCGCCGCGGCCGGGGGGGGCGCCGGAGCGCCCAGCTTGCCAGCCGCCGTCGGCCCCCGCCGAGGCCTTCGACTTGCCCTTGGGCTTGGCCTTGGCGCGGGGGGCGCGGGTGTCGTCCCTCGACTCGTTGCGGTGCTGCTTGTCCTCGTGGCCGGCCTCCTCGCGGTACATGCGCTCCTGCTTGAGCACCGAGCTGCGGGCCTTCTGCTGGTCGGCGAGCCAGGCGTCGAACTTTGTGGTGGCGGCCCCTCCCGAGTCGTCCAACCGCTCCTGAGCGAGCCCACGATCTGCGCAAGGGAGGTGGCAGCCGCCTCGGATCCGGCCTGAGGAAGCACGCGAGGATCCCGCCCGGGACCCGACCTCTTCTCCGACTTCCAAGCGATTTCGTCGGCGAGCTGCGCGTTCTCCGCAGCGAGCCAGCCCTCGGCCTCGGAGAGCATCACGAGAGCCACGGCGTCCCGGCTGATGAAGCGCTCCGCCGGGGTCACCATCTCCAAGCTGAGCTCCTCGCCGAAGTGGTCGCTGGCTGGATCCGCCACGATCCAGCGGGGGACCTCGACTCCCGCAGGCGCGGCGGGGATCGGGAAGCCCAGCACCTGCGCAAAATCGCGGCCATCGCGGCGCAGGCCAGCAAGGTCGGCGTCCGAGAGGGGCCCGAACGCGTATACCTGCCCACGCACTCGGGCAGGGAACGGTGCCGCCCGTGCCAGAGCGACGACCCGAAACTCGTCCAACTTCAGGAGGTAGATCTCTGCGTCTGGAGTGGCGGCCACCCAGAGGCCAGGCGTAGGGGAGGGTACCAGCAGCAGCCGATGGTGCCATCGGACGTTCACGTCGTCGTCGAAGGCGATGCACACCTGGTTCTCGACGATGTCGAGAGTCTCGGCCTGGCGGGCCATCAACCACGAATAGCCCTGGGCCAACCTGCGCGACCTTCAGGTGGTCCTGGAGCGTCGGGCTCAGCACCCCGAGAGGCGAGCCCGCGGATCAGCGCCGCGACGGCCCCGCAGGCGGCCAGGAAGGCCGCGACGTACAGCACGCCCAGGGCCCAGCCCAGGGAGAGCCAGAAGGCCCAGTCGGAGGCGACCGCCAGGGCGGTCGGGCAGGACAGCTCTGGGCAGGGCCGCGGGTCCAGCACGGCCGGGCACGTCACCGCCGGAACCGAAGGGCAGTTCCCGCAAGTGACGTTGACCGAGCCGCAGGGCGGGCAGGCGGGGCACACCGGGCAGCGGCCAGCCCACCCGGCCAGCGCAGCGGCGCCCCACTGCCCAACGGCCGCGAGCCGGAAGGGCATCCGACGCGACGCGGTCCTCTGCAAGCCTTGAAACCAGTATGGCCACGAAGAGGGAGAGACGGCAGCAGGAGGGCAAAGCAGGAAGCGGGAACGAGGAAGGACAAGCGGGGGAAGTGGAATCTCCTTCCGTCTCTCGGCGAGACGTCATCACAACAGAACTGATTCCGAGCCGAACCCTCTTCTGGCCGCTCGACGCGGAGGAAAACTGCATCCAAGGATAAACATAGAATGGGAAGGGATGGAGGAGGAGGAGGAGGAGGAGGAGGAGGAGGAAGGAAGGGGAGAGGAAGGATTAATGGAGGAGAGTGGAAGGAGAGGAAGGAAAGAGGGAAGGGAGAGGAGGAGGAGGGAAGGAGGAGGAGAAAACGGGGAGAAAAAGGGCAGGCTACGTTCAGAGGAGGGACCGGAGTGAGAGGCGAGTGAGGCAGAGGAGGAAAGAGAGGAGGAGGAGGAGGAGGAGGAGGAGGAGGAGGAGGAAGATCATCGATGCGCAGGAGGAGCAGGAGCAGGAGGGAGGCGGAGGGAGGAGGAGGAGCAGGAGCAGGAGGAGGAGAGCAGGAGGAGGAGGAGGAGGAGGAAGTGAGGAGGAGGAGGAGGAGGTGAGGATGAGGAGGAGCATCGAGGAGGAGGAGGAGGAGGAGGAGGATGGAGGAGGAGGAGCATCGAGGAGGAGGCGGCGGGAAGGAGGGAGAGGAGGAGGAATATCGAGGAAGAAGGGACGGGAGGGAGGACCCCCCATTCCCCCCCAGGGGCCCCGCCCGAGCGTCCGGCAGCGCGTCGCGCGGCTCCCTCCCCTCCCACAGCGCGCGCAGGAACGAGGAGGACACCGGCACGCCGCCGTCGGCGACGCAGCAGAGCAGCTTGGGCGTGATGGCGACGTGCTCGACGACCAGGTGGGTGCACCCCTCGGCCCAGTCCTGGGTCAGGAACACGCCCGCGGCCCTCGCCTGCGCCTCGAAGGCGGCCAGGTCCTCCCAGGTGCTCCTCCTCCTCCCTCCTCCTCCTCCTCCTCCTCCGCCTCCGCCGCCGCCTCCTCGTCCTCAGCCTCATTCTCCTCCACCATCACAAGTCACCATCACCAGACACCACATCATAAGCATCATTCATCATCATTCCATCATCATCAATCATCATCATCATCATCATCAGCCTCATCATCATCATCATCATCAGCATGCATTTAATTCCTCAGCCGTCATCTCATCGCATCTCATCCCATCCTCATCATCATCATCTATGCATCATCAGCACCATCATCCATCACCCTCCATCATTCAGCTAGAATCATGCATCAATCATCCTCATCCTCAGTCATCGCATCATCATGCCTCAGTCTCATCCTATCCTCATCTAGTCATCCTAATCCTATCCGCATCACATCCTAAGCCTCATCCTCATCCTCAAGCCTCATTCATTGCATCACATCATCATCATCACATCATCATCATTCAGCATCATCATCACTCATCAGCATCATCATCATCTCATCATCATCATCTGGCATCAGTCCGTCATCATCATCATCCCTCTCGTTCCGTCTCCTCCTACTCTCCTTCTCTGCCGCCTGCCCCTCCTCATTCTCCTCTCCCGCCTCCTTTCCGTTCTCCTCCCTCCTCCCCTCCTCTTCCTTCCTCCTCCTCTCGTCCTCCTTTTTACTCTACCTCGTCCTCGTCCTCGTCCTCGTCCTTCGTCCTCGTTCCGCGTCCTCCTCCTCCTACTCCTCTCCTCCTCGTTGTCGCTGTCGCTGTCGCACCCTGTTGTGAGTCGAGGTCGGACGCTGCCATCCCTCCTACCCCTCCTCCCCCTACTCTTCTCTCCTTCCTTCCTCCCCCTCTCTCTCTGCCTCACCTCCGCCCCCTGCCTCTCTCTCCTCCACCTCTCCTCTCCCCTATCTCTCCCTCCACCTCCTCCACTACCTCTCTCTTTTTTCCCCTTTTTTTTTTTCCACCTCCTCCCCCTCCTCTCTATACTCACCTCCTCCCCTCCTCTCTCTCCTCCTCCTCCTCCTCCTCCTCCTCCACCTCCTCCACCTCCTCTCTCTCCTCCACCTCCTCCTCCTGCCTCCTGCCCCCGAGGCGGCGTGGTCCTGCGACTCCAGGCGGCTCGAGTAGCTGAGCAGCAGCGGCCGCCACTCCAGCCGCAGCTTGTCCGGGTCCACTCCGAACGTCAGCTCGTCCCCGGCCTGGCCCCTCTCGGCCGGCTGTCCGCCGAAGGGGGGAGGAACTCCCAAGAGGACAAAGGAGGAGGAGGAGGAGGAGGAGGAGGAGGAGGAGGAGGAGGAGGAGGAGGGGGAGGGGGAGGGGGGGGGACGGGGGAGGGGGAGGAGGAGGAGGGAGGAGGAGGAGGAGGAGGAGGAGGAGGAGGAGGAGGAGGAGGAGGAACTCCGAAGAGGGCGAGCTGCTACAGCGGCAGTCGGCCTTCGGGGGGCCCCCTCGTCGCCACGGCTGGGCGCAGCTCGGAAAACTGTTGGGTTTGGAACCTGGGAGGGGTCCGGGGACCGACTGCGAGCTGCCGTTGTTTCAACTCGCCCTGCGCCCAGGGACGGGAGGTTCCCAGACTGACCCCTCCTCGCTGAGTGTCCGCTGGCGAAGCCAGAGGAACAAACAACGACATAAACATCAACTTTTGGAGCTCCGCGCGGATTTCTTGGATCCGCGCTGGGCCCGCCTCCCTGGCGCGCGGAGCGCGCCGAGGGCGGCGCCGGAGTCGCCGCCAGGGGGGCCCAGCGCCGATCCAAGAAATCAACGCGGCCCGCCGAAAGTTTGCGTTTATGCCGTTTGTTCTTCTTCGAGAAGCCTCGCCATCGCTCGGACGTCCACTCCCCGTGCACTTGTCGGTGTCGCGCGCCTCTTCTTCGCACGACGATGCAGGATGTTCCTCGATGGTCCTCGCCCCCCTCGAAAAAATGCACACGTCCGAGCGATGCCAAGAAGCAGGAGCAGGGGCAGGAGAAGGAGGAGGGAAAGGAGGAGGGGGAGGAGGAGGAGGAGGAGGAGGAGGAGGAGGACGAGGAGAAACGGAGGAGGAGGGATGGAGGAGGAGGAGTGGAGGAGGAGAGAGGAGGCACTGGAGACTGAGGGGTCTAGGATGAGGAGGACGAGGATGATGTGATGATGATAGTGGAGGAGGAGGGTGAGGAGGAGGAGGAGGAGCAGGGGCAGGAGGAGGAGGAGGAGGAGAGGAGGAGGAGGAGGAGGAGGAAGGAGAAGGAGGTGGATGAGGAGGAGGAGGAGGAGGAGGAGGTGGAGGAGGAGGAGGAAGAGGAGGAGCTAGGCGGAGGAGGGAGGAGGGACGAAGGAGGAGGAGGGAAGGAGGAGGAGGAGGAGAGGAGGAGGGAGGAGGAGGGAGGAGCGTAGGGGCAGGGGCAGGAGGAGGAAGGCAGGGGCAGGAGGTGCAGGAGGGGAGGAGAGAAGAGGAGGAGGTGGAGGAGACGGAGGAGGAGGAGGAGGAGGAGGAGGAGGGGGTAATGGCTGGCCATGCCAACGGCAACGGCGGGCCACTGGCGGCAGCGGGGGGCGGACGGCTGGGGCGCGGAGCACGGGCGGACGCGTGCGACCGCCAGGAGGAGGGCGGGCAAGAGCAGTGACGAGCACTAGCTGACAGACGGTTGATGATGTTGATGATGACACTAGCTGACAGACGGTTGATGATGACAGACCCACCTTTCCTCTTTCATCAATTGCAGCACCGAAAACTGGATGATGATGATGATGATGATGATGATGATGATGATGATGATGATGATGAGGA